ATGAACAAAGATAAATACAGAGGCAGAGAAGCATCCAACAGACTGTCACATGACAGCGGGGAGATAAGAGATCAACCAAAGGGCTTGTGTGCATGCAGATAAGCACAACCAATGGATGCAAGGCACTGGGGGGTAGGGAAGACCGGGGGAAGGTGAAAATGGGGAAAGAAAGGAGACATATGGCCGAAACCAGTTTGGCTCAGTGGATAGGGCGTCGGTCTGCGAACTGGAAGGTCCCAGGTTCGATTCCCGGTCAAGGGCATGTACATTGGTTGCGGGCACATCCCCAAAAGGGGGTGTGCAGGAGGCAGCTGGCTGATGTTTCTCTCTTATCGACGTTTCTAGCTCTCTATCTCTCTCCCTTCCTCTCTGTTAAAAATCAATAAAATAAAAAAAAATAATTAAATAAAAAAGCCTGCAGGGAAGCTCAGGGAGATTAACAGGCATCAATGACCCCTCACCCAGGGGGAGACTCGGGTTTGCATCTGCTCTGGACGAGGAGCCGGACTCATCAGGAAGAGGGGCCACACCTGCCCCTCCGCAGGGGCCCCAGGCTGGGCGGGGCCAGCTTCTCCCCCAGCTCCCCCCAGGCACAGCCTGAGCTGTGGGGCCCAGAGGCCTTTGGGGGGCCCCTCTGCACCCTCTAGTGTCTGGCTTTGTCAGAGCCTCTCATTTCCCCCCTCAATGTTCTAACAGATTTTATTGCATTTTTTTGTTTGCTTTTTTGCTGCTGTAATAAGTATTTTTTTTTTAAAATTTCTTTATTAAGGTATTATATATTTGTCCTCATCCCACTAGCCATTCTTTTTTTATTTTTTTAAAATATAATTTTAACATATAATACTTTATAAAAAAAATAGTTACTGATGTTTTCAATGTACACATGTAATACCTTAATAAAAAAAAAAAATGGAGAAAACACCGATGTTTTCCATGTACACTTCTAGGAATCTATCCCAAGAAACCAGAAACACTAATCAGAAAGGACATATAAACCCCTATGTTCACAGAAGCACAATTTACCATAAGCTGAGATTTGGAAACAGCCAAATCTGTGCCCATCAGCAGATGAATGGATCTGAAAACTGTGGTACACCCACACCATGGAATACTATGCTGTAATGAAAAAGAAGGAATTCCTACCATTTGCAGCAGCATGGAGGGACCTGGAGAGCATTATGCTAAGTGAAATAATCCAGTCGGAGAAAGATAAGTATCACATGACCTCACTCATTGGATGGAAAGTAAAGAACATTATAACCTGATGAACAAAGATAGACACAGAGGCAGTAAAGCATGGAATAGACTCTCAAATTATACCAGAAAAGCTGGGGAGGGCAGGGGGGGAAAGAGACCAGCCTCAGGACTTGTATGAATGTTGGGAAAGCAGATCCCAGAACATGGCCAGCAGGAGGCTGATGAAGGAGTTTGAAGAAATCCCAAATGTGGGATGAAAACCTTCCTAACATCCAGGCTGATGAGGCTGGTTTACTGACTTGGCAAAGGCTTCCTGTGCCTGACAACCTTCCACACTGTAAGGAGCCTTCAGACTCCAAACCAGCTCTCCAGCCGATCACAAATTCAAACCCCCGGAGATCACATTGAAAACAAAGACCTAGCACCCCAATGCGGATGAGCAGGGTCAGGTGTGTTTGCCGGTCATCAGTGCTGACACCTGGCAGCCAGCAACCAAACAGACCTGGTGACCCAGCCCCTCATGGCCCCGGTGCATGCCCCCCTGCCCCCTCCCTGAGCACCCCCTTCGGGCTGACCTACTGAGGAATCCTCTAAGGACCGTGAACATTCTGTATGAGCGCCGACGGGTTCACAATGAAATATGGGGAGCAGCGAGCGGCCTGGGCACTGAAACCTGCCACGATGCTTGAGGCCAGTGTGAGCAGAGACCCCGGCAGTGCATTCAGACAACCCCAAAAAGCAGGACTCATGGGAAATTGGCAAGGGCCACCACCTGGCGTTGGCTTGGGGCAGTTCCTAACGTTCTAGAGTTTTCCGAGTCAAAAGGGGTCTTAGGTAGCCTGCCAAGGAAGGATGAAAAACTTAAGATGCTCTAAAAACAAAACAGACAAACTAAAAAACAACAAGAACTTGTATGCATGCAGATAAGCACCACCCATGGACATGGACACAGACACTGGGGGGCGAGGGAGTGTATGAGAGTGGGGCGGAGGGCAATGGGGGGATAAGGACACATATGTAATACCTTAATCAATCATCATCATCGTCATCATAAGCACCTGCAGGTGAAGCAGGGAGATTAACAGGCATCAATGACCCGCTCACCTGGTCCCGGGTCCAGGGGTTTCGGGGACAGACCCAGGGGCGCCCCTTCCCCAGCCCCGACCCCCTCCGGCCTCTCCCCCAGTCTCCCCTGCACCCCCGCCTCCAGACCAGCCCGCACCCCGATTTCTTCCCTCCTGACTTCCTCCTGAGCACCGCCATGTCCCCACAGTCACCCCATTGTTCCACTCGGGGGAGCCCCCACCTGCCGGCCACCCCTCTGCGCCCCACTCACCCCTCTGCACCCCACACTCACCCCTCTGCGCCCCACCCTCACCGCTCTGCGCCCCACACTCACCTCTCTGCGCCCCACACTCACCCCTCTGCGCCCCACACTCACCCCTCTGCGCCCCACACTCACCCCTCTGCGCCCCACCCTCACCGCTCTGCGCCCCACACTCACCTCTCTGCGCCCCACACTCACCTCTCTGCGCCCCACACTCACCCCTCTGCGCCCCACCCTCACCGCTCTGCGCCCCACACTCACCTCTCTGCGCCCCACATTCACCCCTCTGCGCCCCACACTCACCCCTCTGCGCCCCACACTCACCTCTCTGCGCCCCACACTCACCTCTTTTGGGGCTGCTGTTTGCACCCCCAGAGCTGGGGGAGCAGCCCAGGGCCGCTGAGCATCCTGGAGACTGGAACCCAGAGCCTGCTGCCTCCCCGCAGGCCAGGGGCCTTCCCGGCAGGAGGGGGACCTCAGGGCGCCCTGGAGGCCGCGGGGCCTGGAGCGGGTCTGACCCAGGCCCTTGGGAGCCGCAGCCCTGGCTCTGCCCGCAGCCCCGCCCCCGGGGAGGAGGGCGGCTCAGCCGGAAGAGGGGCCACACCTGCCCCTCCCAGGGCCCCAGGCTGGGCGGGGCCAGCTCCTCCCCACCCCCCAGGCTCTCCCTCAGGCACAGCCGGAGCCTGGGGAGCCCACAGGCCTTTGGGGGGCCCTTCTGTACCCCCCTTTGTCTGACTTTGCTGGAGTTTCTCCTCCAAACTACTAGCTATTCTTTTTAAAAAAATTTTAATAATATAATCTACTGATTTCAGAGAGGAAGGGAGAAGGAGGAGAGAGATAGAAACATCCATGATGAGACAGGATCGTTGATCGGTGGCCTCCAGCACCCCCCCCCACTGGGGGTGGATCCCACAACCCAGGCCTGTGCCCTGACTGGGAACGGAACCCTGCACCCTTCAGCCCGAAGGCTGACTTTCCACCCACTGAGCCCAACCGGCCACAGGTTCCCATTATTTCAAGCACCTGGGGCCTTCTCCCGTGGATTAGACCAGATGGAAACAATAAAACTTCTCCAAGGAGGCCGGGGAGAGGCAGGGAGGAAAGGGTGGCCAGCAGAAAAGAGTCTGTTTCCGGCCTTGGCCGGTGTGGTTCAGTGGATAGAGCACGGGCCCCTCTACAGAAGGGTCCCTGGTTTGTTTCCGCTGAAGGGCAGATCCCTCCGAGGCTGATCCCTGACGCTGGTTGGGGCCCCTGAGGGAGGCAACTAACCATTGTGTCTCCACCACATCCATGTTTCTCTCTAAAAATAAAGAGAAAAGTATCCGTAGGTGCGGATTCACCAAAAAAATGTGGCTCGGCTGGTGTGGCTCAGTGGTCGACTGTCCACCTAGGATCCAGGAGGTCACGGTGAGATTCACCGTTGGGGCACATGCCCGGGTTGCAGGCTGGATCCCCAGCGTGGAGCATGCAGGCAGCAGCCGATCAACACTTCTCTCTCATCATGGATGTTTCAGTCTCCCCCTCTCCCTTCCTTTCTGAAGTCAATAAAAATATGTTTAAAAGAAGAAGTAGCTGAAACCGGTTTGGCTCAGTGGATAGAGCATCGGTCTGAGGACTGAAAGGTCCCAGGTTTGATTCCGGTCAAGGGCATGTACCTTGGTTGAGAGCACATCCCCAGTGGGGGGTGTGCAGGAGGCAGCTGTTTGATGTTTCTCTCTCATGGATGTGTCTAACTCTCTATCCCTCTCTCTTCCTCACTGTGAAAAAATCAATAAAATATTTATAAAAATAAAATAAATAAAAGCATCCCTTATTTGGTATTTGACAAAAGGAATAAAATTTCTTTTAAAAATAAATAAAAAATAAAAGAAAGAAGTTGACATGTGGGCAGAGGCCTTGGTATCAGGCTAAAATATTAAGATCTTGAGATACAGCCGAAACCGGTGGATAGAGCATCGGTCTGTGGACTGAAGGGTCCCGGGTTCGATTCCGGTCAAGGGCATGTACCTTGGTGGCGGGCACATCCCCAGTAGGGGGTGTGCAAGAGGCAGCTAATTGATGACTCTCTCTCATGGATGTTTCTAACTCTCTTTCCTTCTTTCTTCCTCTCTGTAAAAAGTCAATAAAAAACATTAAAAAAAAAATCAAAAGATCTTAAGGTACAATAAGGATCAAATGTTTTCAGGAGGGAAGTACCGTAACCAGATTTTAGTTTTAGGAACTAAAGCTAAACTCCGTTCTGGGCCCTTTGGCTAAGATCAAGTGTAGAAAGATTATTCTTCAGATAAGCCTTTGGGAGATTCTTGGCTGTAATCCTTTGAGAAGGTATCTAAGGAGGGCCAGGTTTGAGGCGGGAAGGTGAGAGATGAGATAGGCATTTTAAAACTCCCTTCCCTGAAGGCCCTCACCCAGTATAAATGGAGGAGGAACCTGGGAGCTGGGGGGGAAAGTTGGGAAAGTCAAGACTTCCACCACCATGTCCTCCATCCGCTTCATCTGCCATGGCTGCCGCCAGCCCCTGAAGCTGGTCCGGACCACGGAGGCCCCTGGCCTTGACGTTGGCCAAGACCCTGGAGCTTCATACTTCCCCTCCGCTCAGGGGGAGCCGGGAGACGCCCCGGAGGAAGGCTCTGCCTCCAGCCTGGAGACCGACCTTGAGGAGCTGCAGGCCTCCGCCTGGCACATCCTTGGTGATGGGGAGCTGTCTGGGGACCGCCCCACCAACTTCACCCTGCTCGGCAAGCTGGCCGCCGGGAGGACCCTCAGCAGCATCCATAGGACGGAGACGGGGCTCTGTGACATCCTGTCCGGGGAAGAGCTGCGCCACCCCCTGTGCGAGGACTGCACGGACAGCCTCCTGCAGCAGCTGGACCGACAGCTCAGCATCTCGGAGTCCGACACTCAGACCTACCAGCGCTGCCTGGAGACCAGGCGTGGATGCGGCGAGGACGCCGGGGAGACCCTGCAGCAGGAGCTGGAGGTGCTGGAGCTGGAGGAAGCGAGGCTGGTCCAGGAGCTGGGGGAGGTGGAGAAGAGGCGAGACGGGGCGGCCGTGGCCCTGGAGGCTGCCCGTGCAGAGACGGAGAGGCTGGAGCAGCAGGAGAGACGGTATCCCCGGGACCTCGGGGTGCTGCAGTGGCAGCAGCTGGAGCTGCAGGACGAGCTGTGGAGCCTGGAGGACCAGCTGCGCCACGCTCGGGCCCAGCTGGCCTGGCTGACCAGGACCGACGCCTTCAAGGCCACGTTTGAGATAGGCTGCAACGGCCCCATCGCCGTCATCAACGGCTGCAGGCTGGGCTGCGTGCCCACCGTCCCCGTGAGCTGGGGGGAGATCAACGTGGCCTGGGGGCACACGGCCCTGCTGCTCGCGAGCCTGGCGCGCACAGTGGGTCTGCGGTTCCAGAGGTACCAGCTCGTCCCCCGCGGGGACCACTCCTACCTGCGGTCACTGACCCCCAAGGACCCCTTGGAGCTGCCCTTGTTCTGCACCGGGGGGAAGAGCTCTCTCTGGGACAGCAAGTTCGACCGGGCCATGGTGGCCTTCCTGGACTGCATGCAGCAGTTCCACGAGGAGGCCCAGAAGGCCGAGCCGGCTCTCTGCATGCCTTACCGGATCCACGCCGAGCGGGGCCAGATGGAGGACCCGGGGTCCGGCAAGTTCTACTCCGTCCAAACCCACCTGCACACGGAGGAGCAGTGGACAAAAGCCCTCAAGCTCATGCTGACCAATTTCAAGTGGAGTCTGGACTGGGTCTCCTTGAGGTACCGTCCCCATTAACTGCATCCGGACAGGAGGCTAAGAGACAGAACAGACCATAGAAGCAGACCCACAGAGGACAGGCAGACCGCTCTGGTGGGGTCGGGTGAGAGGGGGTGGAGGGATCGAGCAAAATAAGAGAATTCATGGACACAGACCACAGCGTGGGGATTGCATGAGGGGGAGGGGAGCTGTAAGAAGGTATGGGGGCATTCATGGTGATAGAAAATAAAATAAAATAAAAAAGGAAAAAATAACTTGATTTTTTTACCTAAGGAGGGAGAGAAGTTATTATTATTTTTTTAAAGATATTTTATTGATTTTTTTTACAGAGAGGAAGGGAGAGGGATAGAGAGTTAGAAACATCGATCAGCTGCCTCCTGCACACCCCCCACTGGGGATGCGCCCACAACCCAGGTACATGCCCTTGACCGGAATAGAACCCGGGACCCTTTAGTCTGCAGGCCAACGCTCTATTCCAGTGTTTCCCAAACTTTTGACATATGTGAACCCCTTCTATAATTTTCGTAACGCTGAGTACCCCTCGTACTTATGAGAACATAGAATGAGGTGCAGCTAAGCACGGTGCAGTGCATATCCCCACCAAACTCCGGTGCAATGCGTACCCCCACCAAACTCTTCCCGTCCCCCTGGGGGTACGCGTGCCACACTTTGGGAAACACTGCTCTAGGGAAGGTGTTCAATTTTTTTAATGAGAAAATAACTGTCCTTGCTGGTGTGGTTCAGTGGTTGAGCACCGACCTATGAACCAGGAAGTCATGGTTGGATTCCCGATCAGGGCATATATGCCCAGGTTTAGGACTTGATCTCCCGTAGGGGAAGTGCAGGTGGTGGATACAAAAATGATTCTCATCATTAATATTCCTCTCTTTCTCTCTTCTCCCTTTCTCTGAAATTAACAAATATTATTTTTTAAAAATCAAATGCACCTTGGGGCTGCCAAGGGTCAATGCAGGACAATCAGGAGATCAGACATTTAACCAAAAGTTGGCCCTGCCCCGTAGGTAGGTCAAGAGAGGTCATCTCTGATGTCTCTGAGCAGGGTTCTCAGAGGTGGATTAGGGCAGTGTACAAGTTTAGCCCGAGCCCTGGGCTAATGTCGCCTTTGGCTCCAAACAAGCTGGACCCTCAGGGTTTTCCAAATCCACTCACAAACCCTCTTTTGTTGTAATCAGTCCTGAAGCTTAGAGGGAAGGGTGACTCTGCAGACTTTTCCTCCCACTCCCAGCCCCGCCCTCCCAGGCGGGATTCACACCTTCTCACTCCTCCTCACCAGGCCTTTCCTTTAAGTCTCCGTCTGAAAATCACCTTTTCTTTTTCTTCCTTCTTTTAAAAATTTACTTTTTCTTAATTTTCTTTCCCCTCCCCCCCCCCCCCCGAGGTTTTCAGAACTGTCTTGGGAAATAAGAGCATTCACAATCACCAAAACTTTCCCCAGTCATCCATCTGATCTCATGATTTAAATACCGTGTTTCCCCAAAAATAAAACATCCTCCGAAAATAAGACCTACTTACAGGTTTCCTTTTGAGTGAAATATAAAGCATCCCCCCGAAAATAAGCCCCCCCCCCCAGGCTCTGTCTCAGAATGCTATTGCTAAACATGAGAGATTTGGTCCACTGATTCTGAAAGAAATGGAGTCACAAGAAATTCACCAGGAAATTCAGGAATTGGATTGTTATGATGATGTTCCAGAAGATGATGACGTGATTGTCATTGAATAAATGAGTAAATTCTTGATACTGTAGGATTCACAGTTTGTCTGGTCTGTGTTGACAACTACCGTACTACTGTACCGTATACAGGTAATACATTTCCTTTATTTTCATTTAACAATAAATGTGTACAGTATTCTTCATAGAAAAATAAGACATTCCCTGAAAATAAGACCTAGCGCATCTTTGGGAGCAAAAATCAATCTAAATCACTGTCTTATTTTCGGGGAAACAGGGGAGCTGGGCGTTTTAGTATTTGCCCTGTGGTGGGTTTTGTGTTTTGTTTTGTTTTAAAATATATTTTATTGATTTTTTTTTTTACAGAGAAGAAGGGAGAGGGATAGAGAGTTAGAAACATAGATGAGAGAGAAACATCGATCAGCTGCCTCCTGCACACTTCCCACTGGGGATGTGCCCGCAACCAAGGTACGTGCCCTTGACTGGACTTGAACCTGGGACCCTTTGGTCCTCAGGCCGACGCTCTATTCACTGAGAAAAACAGCTAGGGCCTCCCTCCCTCTCTGAGTCTGTGAGCTCCAAGAAGAGCAGAGGCAGCACATTTCCATCTCTGACCCCCCCACTCCCAGCCCTCAGTTTCATGCTCACACACAGTAGGTGCGTTTCATGCTTACACACAGTAGTTCCTCCATGATTTCTGGCTTCCGTGTACGTTTTATCCGGGGGGGTGGGGTGTCTACATCACGCCAGGAAGAACCGGGAATGGGTGACTTTGGCCACTAGATGTCACACCATGCTTACCAGTCCACAGAAAACGCCTAACCCTGATTCCAAAGGAGTAGCTGGGAGCGCCCAGGAATGGCAGAGTTAAGTGTGACAATGACAGGACAGTAAGAACACCACCCAGCACAGGGCTCTGGGACCCAGAGCAATGAGTAATGGCCACCACACCGCCCGAGGAGGAGTGTGATGACTTATGAGCCACCCACCTCGCCTCAGAACACCCCACACTCTCAGCGAACCAGGAGCTGACATCCCGGGCTGGGTCCATGTCCCCAAGTTCCCATTATAGATGCTGGGGACGCAGGAATCCCAGGGTGCCTTTCACTTCAGCCACAGAACACTTACCCGGGTGCGAGCTAACAGGGCTACCACCGAGGGGGCTTTTGATCCGAAGCGTGTGCCCAGACCCTTGCTCTCCGGCCCAGACTTTCCCAGCGGCACGGCACTGGCCCTGGCAATGGAGATATCAAAGCTCACACTGGCATTCTCAGCTGTGAAGGGCCAAGGGCTGTTACTCACCGAGTCTCCCCGCCTCCTCGTTACTGCCTTCTGGGGCCTGAGGACTTGCAGGATGACCACATCAATGGAGGAGACCAGACTAGTACCCCGGCACTCGGTAGATGGGAGCCAATCCTCTTGTGGACGGGAGGGGCCACATTGCTGACCTGACAGGCTCAGGGGAGGCCTGCATGGAGGTCTTGCAAACTCAGAGACCTAAAGTCACCACAAAGGGTGATGGTCTGAAATGAAACTTGAACTCAAAGTAATTATGGTGGATAGTTGTGTCCTAGGCTGGTATCTTCACTGACAAGGTCAACCTTTACCTTACCTGAGCCGATCTGTCTTTTTGCATCTAGGATAACATACCTTTGCAATGTAACTGGCAAATTCCCTTTTTCTGGAGCCCCTGGGGTACAACCCCATGTGGTGGGCGCCAGGACAGATGCCTCCAATTCCTTCATTCTCATGTTAATTGTCCCTATACCCACCTGAGTACACATCCATCACTTTACTTTTTATCCAGTCCCAGGGGATGGTGCCCACAACCCGGGCATGTGCCCCTGACCAGAATTGAACCCAGGTCCCTTCAGTCGCAGGCTAGCTACTGGGTCAAACCGGCTAGGGCTTCATCCTTTTGATTTTTGGATGAGGAGAGTCTGTGAAACCGAACATGTAATTATAGACCTTCTTCTGATATTCCTAACCCGACCTACACTCAGTGGGAATTGCTGCCCAGCGAAAAGTGCCTTTCCCCACCCCCACCTCCTCCAACCCCTCCTGTAACATCATAAAGATCCATCTTCCCTGGTCAGACCTCTTAGGAGTGTTTTTTAAAAAAAAAATAGTTTATTGATTTTTTACAGAGAGGAAGGGAGAGGGATAGAAAGTCAGAAACATCGATGAGTGAGAAACCTTGATCAGCTGCCTCCTGCACATCCCCCATTGGGGATGTGCCCGCAACCGAGGTACATGCCCTTGACCGGAATCGAACCTGGGACCCCTCAGTCCGCGGGCCGACACTCTATCCACTGAGCCACACCGGTTTTGGCTCTTAGGGGTATTTTTACTTCATCTTTTACAAATCCCTGTAAACTAACCATTTGCCCCTAATATGTAGCATGTTATTAGCACCGCTTGCATTTATTAAGTCAATCATCAGAATATTTTTTACAATTTCTAAATTTATAACACATCTGCTTCTACTTAACTTAGCGTGCAGTCCATGCCTCATTTTTTCTCAGAGAAGAAAAATGATGGGTTTGGACTTCAAGAGTTTTAATATTTTTTCCAGCTCTAACAATCTCTATCTGTCAGTCATCTCCTAAATGGCTTTTTTATTTTTTAAATAACTTTTTATTGATTTCAGAGAGGAAGGGAGAGGGTGAGATAGAAATATCAATGATGAGAGAGAAGCATTGATCGGCCAACTCCTGCACGCCCCCTACTGGGAATGGAGCCTCCTGCAACCAGGGTATGTGCCCTGACTGGGAATCAAACTGTGACTTCCTGGTTCATAGCTGGAGCCTCAACCACTGAGCTACACAGGCTGGGCCTGAATGGCTTTTTGATGTCTATTTTCGATGCATCTAATTTATCTCTATGAGTCAAGAATATTTGGTTACGAATGATTTGTTGTTAACACTTACTATAGAGTGGGTCCAGGTAATTTGCCAGGAAGATTTCCAATGTGAGTCCATGTCTAATTAAAAGATGGCTTACTTCAGTGCTTCTTTGACTTTCTCATTTTCTTCCAAGCTATTTAGAAAGGAGGACAGCTTTGACTTTCATGAGTGTGTTAGTGACACCTCTGGGGACTGCCAAGAATGGCGTGCAGCCAGGTTATCTCAATTACTGTGAGTTTATTTGTGCTGATACATACGAAAGTAAGAGAAGATTAGAAAGCAACCCACTAACTACCAAGCCCAGCCTTGTTGTTCAGGAACCAGTAAAGCTTCCTCCAGTAGCCTAGGAGCAGAAACAGTGACTCAACAAAAACTCTACTATAGACGGTCCAATCTCAGAGGGATGGTGGAATGTGGGGGTA